CATCATCATCATCATCATCATCATCATCATCATCATCATCATCATCATCATCATCATCATCATCATCATCATCATCGAACCTCATGCTCACCGACATGGCTGTCTCCCGGTCTCACCTTGTCCAAGCGCCGGATCTGCTCGGTCAAGCGCTCCACCGTCAAGTCCTGGCTCGTATGCAGCGCCGGATTCGACACGAAAACACTGCATGGTATCGCCTATTTGACCTACCCTAAGGCCCTAGGGATCCGTTTTCGTACCGAACCTCAGGTCGGTAAGAGTGTTGGTCTCACATCACTGTACCTGAGGTTCGGTACGACTGGATTCCTAGCGCTACATTGACCCCATCAAGAAGCACCCGCAAGGTATCTAAACGAATTGCACATACCAGATCATACCAGGACACCCGAAGGGGTTTCTATTGAATTGATAGCTCCTTCGAGGTGATTCGGGGTGTCCATTCACCACCCGTTGTGGGTCCTGGTAGAAGTGATACATGGATTCTTTGGGTTAGGATCAAACGGCTATAGTATTTTTTCTTAGACCGAGGCCCTGCCTCCTACTTCATCAAGTAGGCGCCTATTCAATGAGTAAGGGAGTAAACACGCTCCTAAAAAGGCACTCTTGAGTGAGAAAGCTCTGGGGGCCAGTTCACCGAGTCGATCTTCTGGTGTTCACCTGGTCGTACTCTTCTCCCCACTCACCATCCAGGTCGCTGGGGATTTGGTCGTAGCTCATAGAAGTGTATATGATACCCGGTGGATCCCAGGCAAACCACTATATAAGGAACCAGGGATTCTAAGTCTATGGTTTTAGTCTTTTGGAACGACTGGTTACCAGCTATAGTGGTTTGCCCGGATCCCCTGGGATAAACATGAACCAAAAAAACACCTCCCAGCCAACCATGATGCCATGAAAAGTTGACCTCCCTCAGAGTCGCTGATCAGTTCATGTTCCGTGGTCAACCCCGGGTGCCCTAGTCTTGACTGGTCATGACTGGTGTGAACCTGGCGCGCACACAGCGGGTGGAACCGGACACCTCCGCCCGCGCCTCCTGCGTCCTCTGCCGCGCTTGCGCCTTCAAGCCTTGGACGGACCGTACGAACCGTGAGGAGCTTGGGGGGTTGGCTCACTCGATGGATTCCTTCGTCCCTTTCTGGTCGGGAAACTCGGGAATCCTCATTATACCGTTCGCACTTCCTGTTTGGGTGCCCTGGAGTAGGAGACCTAGGCCGGTAGGGTAGGCTTGTCCAGCCAGGTGACCGGAAGCACCATGCTATCGAAACACCATGCTATCGAATCCATTGGCTGCTAAAGAGGCAAGTGTGAGAGTGAGGAGGTGGAAGCGGGTCATTGAGTCATCGGGTATTAATAGGTTTTCCAACCATCAGTCGACTGTCGGTCCGGATGCTTCAAACCACCACGGAGCCCCCAACACTTTGCGAACCTGTACAAACGGGTTTTTCTCGTGTGCTAGCCAGTGGTGAACGGAAACTCCCCTGGCAGCGCCTGCCTGGCTCCAAAAACTGGACTCTGGAGACTGAACCCGCGAGCCGTGTGCTCACCCGAGCGCAGTCGCGCAGTCGCGCAGCGACCTTCCATCCTCCTCCCCCATCAACCATGCCACCCGTCCCTCTCCGGTGCCGCTCCGGGGCTGAGGTTCTGCTCGGCAAAGGCGTCACGCTGCAACTGGTGACAGGCGGAGCTGAGGGAGGCTGAGAGCAGGTCCTGGAAGCTGAGCGCCAGTGTTGGGAGGTGGGTTGGCTTTCATGGATCCCTTAAGGTTTGAAGATCCAACGATCAGACAACACGAAGGCGCTGGAAGGCGATGTCTGTTGATGTCTGTGCTGGGAAAAAGGACACCTTCTGCCAGGGGCCAGGGGATGTGAGGGGGCTGGGTCCTGGGGGGCCCACAGAAGGTTGAAGAACCCAACTGTTCGACTATCCCAGGTTCGGTACCTCAGGTTTTCCGGGTGCGTTCGTTCAGGTCACTCTCCACCGGTCCTGGGAAAAGGCTTCCTCCGATGGCCGAACGGAAGGGGCTTTGATGTTCATGCTCACGAGATCTCACGAAAACACTATCCCGTTTGGGCTCCAGTCGTACCTCCTCAGGTTCGGTATGACTGGACCCTCCTGGCACCCACCCCAGTCCCACCTTCTTAGAAGGTACGACTGGAGCCCTAGGGATAGTGTTTTTGTGAGGGAGGTGGCTTTTTCACCAGGTGGAAGGGATCACTGCGAGGTCTCCCAATCTTGTAGCTTAGCCGGACTTTTGGCCACCTCCGTCCGCTGACGCAGCGAACCCTTCGGCATGTCCATGCGAGAAGAATGGCGCTCATTGGCGCAGTCTACCATGCATCCAGGTAGATCGTGCGACACTTATTCCACCAGATTCTATAGCTTTCAAGACCAGTCAAAAGGATGACCTGGTCGTCTTGTAGTCTAAAATCATCAGTAAAACAGGTAATTGCCAATGGTTCTTCGGGATTCAGGCTAACGTGGATAGAAAAAAAAAAAAGGTCACCCGCATTCACCCGCTCCGTCGGGCTCCTCCACCAAGGGCTGAAGCATCCGTGGTCCCAATTTTTCCTCTAGGACCTGGGCCTGGCCGAAGAACGGTGTCTTTGACGCACTGCGTACGCGGTCGACCGGCCGGTCTGCCACATTCTCAGACGCGGCTGGAGTTGGAGGGCCAAGCACTTTCAGCACTTGGAGCCGGTTTTGGAACGTGAACATCGATGTATGAATCACCAAAAAAGACCCAACTCCAGAAAAGGAGGTAGACGGGGCTGCCTGGGGGCAAGGTGGTCTTTTTTCGTAATTAGAGGTCCAAGCTGCGCACTCAAAAGCAAACCCACAAAAGCACGAAATCTCTGAACTGATATGCCAAGAGGTGCCGCTGTCCTCACATCAATGCTTGTCCAAACGGAGAACGATCACCGTCATGGTCAAAAGTTAACTCCTATGAAATCCTAAATGGGTTTAAGTTGAAATAGGGAGACCTCTCAATGGGTTCTTGATGTTCTTGTAGGGATATTTGTGGTCTTCCCAGGGTAGTCCCTCGAGGTGCTTTTCCCTATTCTAGTGCATACCCAAATCCTCCTCAGGTGTTTTTGGGGCGCTCGGTTGGATTGCCAAATGCTTTCTCTTGTGGATAGCTATAGCTGTCTGTCTAGTCCACTTGAGCTATAGACCCAAGCTTCACTTGGTGGACAAACCAAAACAACCAGCGAAACCAGTCAGGACATCTCTCACCTTCGCATCGCAGGCGACGTTCGGCAATTTCTCGGTCGACGGGGGCCCCGCGTGGGGGAGGAATCCTCACCTGGTCATGAGTCTCCGGCACGAGCGCCTCCTCGAGGTCTCGCCTGGTCGGTGAAGACGTGGGTTGACAAAGAGTCACAGCACCGGTGTAGGCTGTGAAGACAGGCATGGTCAGTCGAACGTGAAGGCGAACGGGTTCCGGACAGAAAAAGAATCCTGAGTAGGTCAGTGGGTTTTACTGGGTGAAGAAGTTTCACAGTGAGTTTGCAGGTGATGATGATTTGGTTGGATCGTGGTTGACCCCACGTGCCTTTCCGCGTGGAGCTGCGTTTGTCCGACACGGGAAGACACGACGCAGGTTGGAGAGAACCTTCGGCACCGACGACGAACTCGGCTGCGGGGCGACGAGAGGAGTTGGGCCGAGGGACAGGAGATCCTCTTCCTTGGCAGCTTTGAGCTCTTGCACGGCATCTTGGATGACCTGCCCAGCTTTGTGCGTATCAAGTAGTTCGCCGGATCGGCAGACTCGCAGTGATCCATTGATTGATATATTAATATTACTTCGAACACTGGTCCATGTTAATATACCTGGACCATCCTGTCTGGGTGTCCATTGGAGATCCCGGATAGTAGTGGAGGGTAACCCACTGGTGACCCATTGGATGGCATGTATATATATATATATATCGTATCAGCCTTGGGAGTCTTCTAAGCTACACTTGAGAACCAACACATATATTCCATGAAGGGGATTCCGCATGATTCGACCAGGGGAACACAACCAGTTCTCATCACCCGATTTACCGCGCAAGACCAGGCACATGATCAGCTCTGAGTCTGAATATTCTGAATGCACTCCTTTCTGGGTCCTGCAGCAAACCTTCAGTGTGGACTGGACCTCGACCTCTCGAGAAGGTAAGAAGCACGCTACAATATGGTTCAATCCACCAGTACCCAGACACTCCATGGGACTGCCATATATGCCTATATTGAGCCCTCAAACCACCCCAGTGTAGGCATATATGGCAGTCCCGTGGAGTGTCTGCGGTATGGTTCAGTCTTATCACGTACTTTCTTCCAGCACCGACCACCACCGCCCCTTCGGACCACCGAGCCTTTAAGAGCATCGTGGCTTCCTGTGGCGACTCCTGCAAGGGAATTGACTTCCACGTGGGCGTATGTGGCTGAGCAGCAACCTCATCTACTTATTCTACTTGATGTAGTAACCATCCATATGGTTTGGATTTACAATCCAAATGGGGGCGGCTTTATTAATGCTTTACGGGTGGTTTCAACTCAGTTGCAAAAACATATGAGTCAAAGGGCGTCTTCTCATCCCAAGGAACGGTTAGAACTACTGTGGACTCTGAATCAATAAACCTTCCCACATGAAGAGCTGCCTCAATCAAAAAGGGGGGGGTCATTGATCAAGAAGCTACAGTACATGATCTCAAACCGGATGAAGATCTGACACCTCAAAAGGCGAACCTCCGGCACCAGCCCTGCACCAGGGGCCGGTGGGCACCCCAAAGGTCGACTCAAGCTTTCCCTGTTTGGACTGCTGTAAGTGGTTTTTTCCAAGAATTGAACACATCTACGGGAAACCCATCATATTGGAGACGAAAACCTGTTTCCTGGAAATTTTCCTTTAAACTTTGAACCCCCGTGGACTAGACCTGTGGATTCTAAGAACGATGAGAAACCAACAGGGTCGGTTTAGGCCAGATAGACTCCCTGCCACAGAATTGATCCTCCAAGTTCAATGCATCTCATGGCGAGGTGGTTAAGTGTATGTGCGGGAAGGTCAGAATTGTTTGCCTGTTGGAGAGTGCCCTGTACAGGACCCTAGTGCCTGCTATTGGCACACATCATTCAAGTCGATGCTTTGATCAGCGAGAGGGCATGCCGATGCCCGATCGATCGGCAGGCGCAGATGCGTTGGTCGCCTCCTTCGCGCAAATTTGCAGCAAAGGCTTCAGCTGCGTCTTCAAACAGCCAAGGGTGGCAGCAGGTTGTGTCAGCAGCCTCGGAAGAAATCCGTCGCACTGTGAAATCAACGGAAATCAGACAAACCAGCTGCTGTTGATGGAATAAGGATACTTGGAAAATGGCTCCTACAACTATACTCACAAGGGCCCCTGCATGTTGGGCCAACGGGGGGGGTTAGCCCCGCCGGCAACATATATCAGATCCGTTGACTGGTCTTTCGGGGTGGGGGGTGGGGTCAGTTTCGTCCGTGTTACTACTCGCGTACTGGCGGACAAGTGTCTTGCACAGCTTCTCTATGTATTCTGACAGCCTCGAGCATGCAGTCCAACCCTGGATGTTGGCTGAACCACAACGCTGCGAGGCCTTCAACGTGCTGTCGTTGCAGCTTTGCATCGCAACGGCCAAGAAGACCCATTCTTCGGACGAATGGTCACCGAGCGAACGAAAGGTCACCGAGTCAACAAATCAACGTCAAAGTCGATGCTCAAATGTACAGTGAGCTCAATTGGCTCAATTGGGAACAAGACTGATGTCTGGCGGCTGCAAAATGAGCCTTGGCAAGCTGTACACGGAGCAGGCGGGTGGGTTGGGTACGTCAAAACAACTTCAACTTATCGTCTTGCAACTCATGAGTGCAAGACGATAAGTTGAGTGTCCGGAAAGCCACAAAGCCCTGTAAACACACAAGGTTTTTTTCATCCTCGGTATGTTGCGTTCGGGGCTAACCCCCCGTTTACCCTGCATGTTGTACAGTTGAGTTGTTTCTTCTTGGGTGATCAACCCATAGTGGTGTGATGATACTGATAGAACCTGAGTGACCCTTGTTTTGGAACAGAAGATGTCATGCCGTTTCCTTCTTCATCAGAGCAGTTGTCAAATGGGTTCAGGACAGTTGGTGGATGTTGATGGTGTGGACTCATGTCTTCTCCCCGTAAACCCCGCCCTCACATGCATGGACCATCAACCATCCCCACCAACTAGTTCCATCTGGTTCCCCCAGTTCTTCGTCTACTGTAAGAATCGTTAGAGGCTCCATTTGTACCTTGATTTGTGGAAATATGGTCCCAATAGAGGCCGGTCCTATGAGTAAACTCAGACTATCAATGGATGGAGTTGTTTCTTAAATGACACACACGGGTGAACTGTATATGCATGTATTTTAAAAAATGCGTATATAAATATATTCTATGCGTGGATGGTTTGCTAGTTGGTCAATTTCAATGGCATATCTAAAAAGGTTTCTCTAACTCAGAAATTTGGAGGCACGGTTGACGTGTTGGGTTTGGGGGAAGCATGGGGAAGCTGAGGATGCAACTCTTAAGACCACACGATATGTTTTTTTGAGACTACACGTACAATGGTGGGATATTCACTTGCACAGCTATTGCGGAAGGAATGGTCGAGTTGGAGGGTTTTGTTGTGAAGAGGTCAGGGAAATTCCTTAAATGTCTCAGTACAAGTAGTTCCCGGGCAAGCCGGCGGCGGAAGTTTCCTATAAGAAGAAATTGACCTATAGGAGTGTCCACGTTCTCTCCAACATGCGCGTCCTCCAGTCAAACGCACGCGCCCCGGACTTTTGACCCACGGGATTCCACGTGTGTAAGGTGTGTGCCCCCTGCAGGATCAGCAGCTCACAACAGCGTACTGGGTTGTATCTCCACAGGTTGTTCCAGGTTGTTCCAGGTTGTTCCGCGTGCTAAAGTTGTACTAGAAAGTCGCCAGTCAGTTCTCATCTTCCACTCCCCAGATGCTCCGCGTACAGCAGTTGTACTACACAGTCGCCAGTTCTCAGCTTCTAGCTGCACAGACTGCTCCGCGTACTAAAGTTGTACTACAAAGTCGCCAGTTCTCAGCTTCCAGCTCTACAGATTGCTCCGCGTACTAAAGTTGTACTAGAAAGTCGCCAGTTCTCAGCTTCCAGCTCTACAGATTGCTCCGCGTACTAAAGTTGCACTAAAAAGTCGCCAGTTCTCAGCTTCCAGCTCTACAGATTGCTCCGCGTACTAAAGTTGTACTACACAGTCGCCAGTTCTCAGCTTCCAGCTCTACAGATTGCTCCGCGTACTAAAGTTGTACTAGAAAGTCGCCAGTTCTCAGCTTCCAGCTCTACAGATTGCTCCGCGTATTAAAGTTGCACTACACAGTCGCCAGTTCTCAGCTTCCAGCTCTACAGATTGCTCCGCGTACTAAAGTTGTACTAGAAAGTCGCCAGTTCTCAGCTTCCAGCTCTACACATGGCTCCGCGTACTAAAGTTGTACTAGAAAGTCGCCAGTTCTCACCATCCAGCTCCACAGATACTCCGCGTACTAAAGTTGTACTACAAAGTCGCCAGTTCTCAGCTTCCAGCTCTACAGATTGCTCCGCGTACTAAAAGTTGTACTAGAAAGTCGCCAGTTCTCACCATCCAGCTCCACAGATACTCCGCGTAGTAAAGTTGTACTACAAAGTCGCCAGTTCTCCTCGTCCAGCTCGCCAGATACTCCGTGTACTAAAGTTGTACTACGAAGTCGCCAGTTCTCAGCTTCTAGCTGCACAGATTGCTCCGCGTACTGAAGTTGCACTACAAAGTCGCCAGTTCTCATCGTCCAGCTTGCCAGATACTCCGCGTACTAAAGTTGTACTACAATGTCGCCAGTTCTCAGCTTCCAGCTCACAAATTGCTCCGCGTACTAAAGTTGTACTACAAGAGCCGCCAGTTCTCAGCTTCCAGCTCCCCAGATGCTGTGCCTGCCACGAAATCTGCACGACATGGAGGTTCACAAAGTGCTGTGCCTGCCACGAAATCTGCACATGGAGGTTCACAAAGTGCTGCACCTGCCACGAAATCTGCACATGGAGGTTCACAAAGTGCTGCACCTGCCACGAAATCTGCACATGGAGGTTCACAAAGTGCTGTGCCTGACATGAAATCTGCACATGGAGGTTCACAAAGTGCTGTGCCTGCCACGAAATCTGCACCTGGAGGATCAAAGTGCTGCACCTGCCACGACATCTGCACATGGAGGTTCACAAAGTGCTGTGCCTGCCACGAAATCTGCACATGGAGGTTCACAAAGTGCTGCGCCTGCCAAGAGAATCTGCACTTGAAGAGACAAGTGAAAACCTAATCACAATGGACGGACGACCGACCATGACCCGAGACCGTCTCGCAACCGTCGTTCCGCAGAGCTAGACTTGCCAGGTTCGAAGCCACCGGTTCTATTGAAAAATACAGCATTTCGTGCGTCCGCTATCTCTCAAAAACGCATTTTGTATTGCACCTGCCACAAAATCTGCACCTGGAGGTTCACAAAGTGCTGCGCCTGCCACGAAATCTGCACATGGAGGTTCACAAAGTGCTGTGCCTGCCACGAAATCTGCACATGGAGGGTCACAAAGTGCTGTGCCTGACATGAAATCTGCACCTGGAGGTTCACAAAGTGCTGTGCCTGCCACGAAATCTGCACATGGAGGTTCACAAAGTGCTGCGCCTGCCACGAAATCTGCACTTCGAGAGACAAGTGAAAACCTAATCACAATGGACGGACGACCGACCATGACCCGAGACCGTCTCGCAACCGTCGTTCCGCAGAGCTAGACTTGCCAGGTTCGAAGCCACCGGTTCTATTGAAAAATACAGCATTTCGTGCGTCCGCTATCTCTCGAAAACGCATTTTGTTTTGCACCTGCCACGAAATCTGCACCTGGAGGTTCACAAAGTGCTGCACCTGCCACGAAATCTGCACATGGAGGTTCACAAAGCGCTGTGCCTGCCACGAAATCTGCACATGGAGGTTCACAAAGTGCTGTGCCTGACATGAAATCTGCACCTGGAGGTTCACAAAGTGCTGTGCCTGCAACGAAATCTGCACATGGAGGTTCACAAAGTGCTGCGCCTGCCACGAAATCTGCACTTCAAGAGACAAGTGAAAACCTAACCACAATGGACGGACGACCGACCATGACCCGAGACCGTCTCGCAACCGTCGTTCCGCAGAGCTAGACTTGCCAGGTTCGAAGCCACCGGTTCTATTGAAAAATACAGCATTTCGTGCGCCCGCTATCTCTCGAAAACGCATTTTGTATCGCACCTGCCACGAAATCTGCACATGGAGGTTCACAAATTGCTGCACCTGCCACGAAATCTGATGAGTGGTGGTTTGATGAGTGGTGTATGATGAGTGGTGGTTTGA